AAACATTGCATCTTCCTAAGTGCCTTGGTAATGGCAATATGGTGCAGCAGCTATGACAATGGGGCTTAGATGACGTCAGACCTACTCCGAGCGTTGGCTATGGCGTTGTCAATAGCAGCACTCAGCTCTGCCAATACGGATGAGGTGTTGTGAATTCACGGCAGTGGGGGCTTCAGCAGTATGACCAGACCGTAACGAGGCTGAGGAATCAATAGCAACACGGCGTATTTCAGGACTGATTCGTTGAGTAGAGCGTCATCAACGCGAAAAACAGTAGGTCTCTATGCAAGAAATAAAGTCGGGCGTATTCCATAAGAGCGGGATTTGTCTACCCTATTACAAGATTCAATACATAGTTCCAGTATGATGTCACCTTCAGTTTTATGTATCATGTACAACCTATCAACTTGGACTTTACGTTGCGATGGTATCAACTTTGTCATTTATTCTTTAAGTCAAATACCGTAGGTTTAATTAAGAGCCGGAGTTCCGATTGAAAAGGGACAAATTCTAACAGCTTGATTGCGCAGAGGAACACTAGAGCATGCACTAAAAAGACCCCGGAGAACGGAATTGATCCAGCCTATCGTAACTTAGAGATGCAGCACGAGACCTCTGGTTTGAGAACGACTCCTCATTAGAACCTGAATCCACAACTTCATGTAGAATCCATCCAATAGCATAGTCGTTGGAAGCTTTGCAACGACAATTTTGAACTTTTCCGGCTTTTATTCGTGAGGTTCCTCTGGGATGTCGGCGAGGAATTCTTCAAGCCGTCTGTATGACTCTGCGCGCAGCTCTGCCGCTTCCTCGACCCGACCGTCGCGGACAAGCAAGTCCTCAAGTTGCCACATCTCATACACAATCTGAGATCCCAGCCGGCCTTGGCCATACTCTCTGAGAGCCAAGATGGTTCTCATCCTGTCAGCTGCAGAGTCCACGTGTTCCCTATCATGAGTCTCAAAGTCCATCATGATTCTGATGATATAAGCCATGATACGGGCTTGTAAGCGTGGGATATCCATGCCGGGATGGACCGGCATTGCGGCGTCGTCTTGAAGCACTTGACTCTTCAACCAAGCTGAGAGGACACGCACCCTCATTGTCGAGTCGGCAGGGACCTCGTCGAGCATCTGAGTGACCCCTGTTAGACTTTCTTGCTTTAATTGGTTGAAGTTAGCAGGCTGTGAAATTCCATCGCCATGGATACCAATGCCGTTGAATGTCAGCTCATGCTTCGGCCAGAGCTTGCCAGTTGCTACGTCGACGTCATCATGGAGAAACGTTTTGTTGATCTTGTCGTGGATTTTGGCGAACCATTTGTCCGAATGACGCGCAATCTCGGGATCAAGTTTGACAATATCCGAATCCCAGACAAGCTGGTAGTAGAGCAACAGGTAATCCGGATCAAAGCGAGTGAACGTCAGATCCGCGTTTATCGACCACGCTCGCTCGAGAGCTTCCGGCCGGACAGGAACGCCGTCATGCTGCCATGCCTGCAGCAGGTCTTGCAGTCGACGCAGTACCTTTGATACCGGTCTACTGCCAGCAAGACTTATGAGATGGTGCAAAAGTATGTGGCCGAGATTTGCCTGGCGGAGGAGGGCGATGTTGTGGAAGATCTCCAGGGTATTCCAAATGAAGAGGGGCCCTTCTGCGTCGAGTAGAGTTTCTGCCTGAAGGAACGCCTTGCGAGCTAGACGGCCAGCCAAGACACCCTGATCGCGATCAAGAAGGCCCAGTATAAGTTTGAAAGCGAAACTCAGCTGCTCGGGGTTGTTTAAATCGCGCGGCGGGGGCTTAATTGATGATTCAGGCGAGGGGCTTAATGCCCCTGGTGGTGATGGCAGCGAATATCCAACCGTGCCAGGTTCGGCCCTGTCGAAAAACGCAACAGTCCAGTTTCTGATACTGGAAAGAAACGCTACTTGGGCCGCATCAGAGGTACTGAGATGAAGGATGCGAGGGGCCCTCGAGACTGCAGCAGCCTCGACCAGTGCAGTTGACGGCGGCCCAGAATCTCGCGTCGATTGAGGACAGACATCCTTGCCTCGCCGGTCCCGACGAACATTCTTCTGGAATCCCCATTTGGTGAAGCGCTTTTTGTACATTTGCACACTTTTTTTGTGACGCTTGTCAGCTCCCATGGGGTCTCTTTGATGCCGGAAGCGACACACCGGTCGCACGCGTCCAACAAGGGCCCTGAAAAAGGCAAAATTCGCAACATGTGTACGCGCAACTTACGTGGCTTTGAAGTTGTAGTCCTCCTCCATCGCTCTCATTAGATACTTGAGGCTTCTACGCTCTCTGACGTACATGCGCTCAATCATCGGGTACACGACCGTCCACTCTCTTTCATCGTGTTGTATTGGCAATGCGGCGCATGCCGAAGCTGGGCGCATGGGAGTATCTGACTTGGGCATTCGTGGGAGCAACGGTCGCTGGCCCGCAGCCGTTAGAGCCGGTGCGGCCATCGTGATCATGCGGGTATCGCAGCCTCGGATCGTGCCTCTGTCACAGAGGTCATGGACGAGATAAGAGATTCAGGTACGTCAGGGAACTTTTCCAGAGGACACCATTCGTCCACAGCTGACAGGCTTGGATGCCTGGCATGGGGCGCAGCGAAGGATCCAAGCTAACGAATTTCAGAATAAATACCACAGTACCCATGTCAGCGCCACAGGAACTAATAGTGAGCCTGGCCAATGACACTGTAAGAAAAAGTTCTGTCTCACAACACAAAAGGTTCCCCGGACGCTGGGATCGGCATTGCTTCAAAGTGATGAATCAGGGTAGAGGAAAAAGTTCCGCATCGTTGCTGGAACATTGTTCAGCGACCTCGCAATCCGTAGCTCTAAAGTCAGGGACGAACGAGATGGATGAGAAAAGTTCCAGGTGGTACCTATCTGTGTCATTGGAAGTTTTGTCAAAAGGAGCATTGCAAAATATAAAAGGGTCGTGAGCGCTCATGTTGAAAGATGTCTCAGAAGAAAACACCTTATCAACAGCATTATCCCCATCACCGTCACTATCAGCAGCAAGTTTTATCACTCGCAGCATCAAGCAAGAATTTCGAGTCCCAGCACACTTTGTTGCTGTTTTGGCTTTATTCGGTCTTTTTGTATCATAGTCGTCATGTCCGCGCAAATGCAAGACCGAGTCGCATCGGAGACGAGCCTTTTGACATCCTTCCGCAAAGCTGTATTCAGCTCCGTACCCCCCATCCCAGAAGCCATCAACCTCAAAGGCCAAACCGGCATCATTACTGGCTCCAATGCTGGTATTGGCCTCGAAGCAGCCCGGCAATTCCTTCAGAAAGGCCTTACTCACCTCATACTGGCAGTTCGCTCACAGAGCAATGGCGACAACGCGGCGGAGTTACTTGCACGCCAGTTTCCTGCAGCTGACATCCAAGTCTGGCTGCTAGATATGGAATCCGATGCATCAGTGCGAAGCTTCGCTCGTCGCTGCGAGTCTCTTGAGCGGATCGACTTCCTCATTCTCAATGCCGGTGTCGGTAAGATGACGTTCGAGAAGAGCAATGAAGGCAAGGGCCGCGAAGTGACTCTCCAAGTCAATTACATCAACACCATGCTTCTCGCCATCCTTATGGTCCCGGTCCTAAAGGCCAAGGCTCAAGGTCGGCCCAATCGCTTGACCGTTGTCGGCTCCGACATGTCCTACTGGGCTACACTGCCGGAGACATCTGGATCTCTCCTCGATGCACTCGATAACAAGGAGGGATACAACGGAATGCAGCACTACGGCAAAACCAAGTTGCTTTTGGTAATGGGAATCGCCAAGCTATCGCAGACCGTCACGGCAGACGAGGTCACTATCAACTACCTCAACCCCGGCGCTACCAAAGGCACCGGTCTTAACCGCGAGGCATCGGGTGTCTGGAAGATCGTCCCGTTCGTTATGGATCGCGTGATTGGGCGAGAAGTAGTTGATAGCGCTAGGCAGTATCTTCACTCGGCAGTGGTCCTGGGAAAAGAGTCACACGGTTCCTTTACCGACTTTGTCATCAGGCCGTAAGTCCCTGCTCCGCGAGACTTCGCCCCGAAATTTTTCGCATGTCTTATTAACACAACCACAGTTATCCTAAGCTCATGTATACTGAAGCTGGTCAAAAGAAAATGAATCGTTTGTGGGACGAGACTTTATCGGAGCTTGAGTTGGGTACGCACTCCATCTAGCATTTTTCTGAGGCACAGAGGAGTGGGGGTTACCGTTATCTCTGCATGCCGGTCCTAGAAATATAACAGCCATAGGTTCTGGTGGGATACAAAGGCTTGTATTGACCACGCACATCATACACTTCTGCTGGTTTCACAACATCAAATGTATTTAACTGATATCTCAAGTGTACCTGTGGGAATATCAACCTTTCTTGTCTCACAATTACCCTAGTGATCTCCGGCAAATTATTTACACAGAGTGTAGGGCTGCCGCTTTCAGAGCCATGCTGATTTTAAGACCAAAGATTTCAGACTTCTGCAGCCTTTTTGAAAGAGATTCGAACGAAGAATCAAGTGAATCAAAACTACTTTCTAACGTAGACTTGCTATCCCGGCGGGAGGTGGGCAAAGACAACGACGAGGACGACACGGAGAACAATAACGAGAACGACTATGTAACGGCGACAACGACGATGCCAATCGCAATAGTCATGACGCTAATAGGAGCGATAGAGATAGAGATGACAGGGACGGGGACGATAACGAAGAGAATATTATCGACTGGAATTTACATATTATAGAAAGAATGTTTCTTCCCTTTAAACAGGACGATAGCTGTTTGACCCAATATAGGTAGTTGTATGCCCGAACAGCGCAAGCTTTCTAATAATTGGCAGTTTCATACTTGCTTTGGCGGCGAATGCTTTGGCCATACTTGAAGAATGCCCATGGCCCGGGAAGTAAGATGAGTGAAACGAATCCTAGAAGGCTCGTGGCCCAACCTATGCCGAGGCTCTGGTACACTACATGATACATATATCAGTGGGAGGTTTTCAATGGAAATGAAGAAATAAGTGAGTACTCACTTTGGAGCGAAAAGAACGGGAAGGCGGCAGCAAGGGTATACCTTGCCAGGCTATTAGCACTCGCTGCACTTGCGACATTGGTTCGATGATATGTGTCTCCAAGATATTGAATTGAGCTGACGGTCAATGAGATGTTGCCCCAGCCAAAGACTGCAACCGCCACGATCGGTACGGCAACATGCACATCTGAGCGAGCCGTCCATCCAAACCAAAACAAGCTAATAGGCAGACCCAAAGATCCCAGCATAGCAGGGTAAAGTCGAAGCTCTGGTGGTATCTCGCCTGGCGGAAAGCTTCGAGCTTTAGGCTGGTAGAGATATCGGTCGCAAAGGATCAGGGTCACACAACCCAGAACACACCCGAATGCAATGGCCAAGAAGACTAGACCTGACTCTGTGAGACTGAAGTTATGTGTCGTCCCGAAAACGTAGAAGAAAGCCCCGAAGAACATAAACAGTGTTCCGAACATGCATGCCACATACAAAGAGAGTATTGACACGATGGGCTCTGCGAAAAGCATCCGCAGGGGTCGAAATAGACTGACAGTGAGGAATTGCCGAGTCATTGTTGAGGTGGAGATCGGTTCGGGTTCATCGAGGCCGAGTTGCTTTCGACGGCGTCGTAGTAAGACGGGGTGATACGACTCGCCAGCGATAAAAAGCCACATTGCCGAAAATACGGAGAAGAACAATATGGTATACTGTGTCCAGCGCCAGCCTTTTCTGTCAACTATGAAAGACCCCAAAACTGGCCTTAGACATATGTCAGCACGGGTAGCCCCTCAAGATCGCGAGTTTTGCTGCGTCTTACCCGAGGCCAGGTCCCAGAAAAGGACTCAGGATGAAGATTGTTGATGGTAACCCCCTCTCAACAGGCAGGTAAGTCTCATTCAAGACACCAGAGCCTACAGCCAAAACAGGCCCGTAGAAGAACCCAGATAAGAATCTGAGAATGCACAGCCCGGCAAAGGTTTCGGTGAATCCTGCGCCCAAGGCGAAAAGACCGCCAAAGACTACGGCGATAATATGGACAGCCTGCCTACCGGCCGTTTCTGATAAGGGCCCGCCGAGTACGGGACCAAGTCCTAGTGCAAGCACATATAATGATAGCGGGAGGAAGGCAGCCGTGCTCGAGATATTAAACTCGTCCATGAATTGTGAACGAGCTGGGCTGACAATTGAGGTGCCAACGGAACTAGAAAAATCAGTCGGCGAAAGGAAATATGTAATCAAACATTGCTTCACCCACCAAGTAAAGCCAACGATAGAAATCATTGCAAGTTGCACGTTCTTTTTCCACGAGGGCCAGTTGTATGGATTTGATGGGTCTTCTTCCCACTTCCATTCAGACGTTGCCTGCCTGTCCCCTTCGGGTTTGCTATCATCAGAGATGGCTAGGTGTTCAGCAATTTCTGTCCTGTCGGAAGCGACGAAATCCGGTCGCATTATCATGGAAGGCATATCTGAACCGGAAAAAAGTTGTATTCCAAGACTTGGTGGGAGGAAAGAATGTCAGTTGATCTGGCGCAAGGAAGTCATTAGGACTCGACCCAACCCTGAACCATAGTCCACCCCTTTGGACGGCTATGTCACACTGATCGTGTCTTATCATGCCATTTGATTATCAATCATCTTGAAATGCAAGACGTGCCGTGAAATACTACCGATCATGTCGACCGTTTAAAGTTTATGCGGCTGTCAGTAACCGAAGTCCAGGGTTGGGTACTGCTAGATCATGCATTTGACACTCCTACCCCAGTGGGCTACACCCCCACGCAAATATGAGTTCCCACGATCGGCACCCTGCCGTACTATTGCGAAGACACAACCCACTTCACGATTATCCTGTCGCTCCAGCCAAGGAAATACGGCAACGTTTCTCGGACACAAGTCTTGTTTAGACTCACAATCGAATAAGCGCTCTCAGTAACCCTGAATGAGGGACTCACAGGGGCCGCTTTCTCACAGGGTTGCAAGACCCATAGTTCCGGGGGCAGCTACATGGCCAAACGACAGGGTCAAAATTTCGTCTTGCGCCGTCTGAGTTGAATAAACATTGGCATTGAATTTGTCAGCTTGGTGTAGCGGAGGGATTGATCGCTCCAGAAACCATCCAGAGAAGCTGTATGTAAACCACTACCAATGACGCCTCAGCAACTGCTGGAGCAAGCATTGCAGCAAGCCGTTCCACTGTATACGCGCGTTTCTGTCCTCCATTGTCTTCTCTTTTGCCTATCATACGAAGAGCTCCACTGAGATCCTTTCAACATGGCGCACAAAGAAATTTCGGAACCGACAAAGATTCCGCCTTTTGAATCGACTCCCCTGGCAAGCATACCGGCTTCTGTCAGCGCGACCAAGGCCACTTTCAAGTCCGGCAAGACAAAGAATGTGGAATACCGCCTGATCCAACTTCGAAAGCTATACTGGGGACTCAAAGACAGAACTGGTCAGCTTCGGGAGGCCCTTAAACACGATCTCAACCGACCTCCCCATGACGCTCATGTTTCTGACATCGACTGGAGCATTTCGGATTGCATGTTCGCCATCCAAAACTTGACGACATGGGTACAGGATGACAAGAACATTGACGTCTTCCTTCCTTTTTCGCTTCTTCGACCGCGAATCCGAAAAGAACCCCTGGGCATGGTTCTTATTATTGGAACATACAACTTTCCGGTGCAGCTGAACATTTGTCCCCTCATTGGTGCAATAGCCGCCGGTTGCACCGCTGTTGTAAAACCTTCTGAGAACGCCCCGGCAACGGCCATGGTTCTAAAGGGTATCATCGAGGACTACCTGGACACTGACTCTTACAGGGTCGTGAACGGCGCCGTGCCTGAGACCACTGCTCTCCTGGACCAGAAATGGGACAAGATTCTCTATACTGGCGGGGTCAACGTTGCCAAGATCATCTCCAAGAAGGCTTCAGAAACGCTTACGCCCGTATGCCTAGAGCTTGGCGGCAAGAATCCAGCATTTGTCACTAGCAATGCAGACCTTCGTCTTGCTGCCCGAAGGCTCTTGTGGGGAAAGACGCTCAACGCCGGACAAGTCTGCGTGTCCCACAATTACGTTCTCATCGAGAGAGGACTAGTCAAGGACTTTGTCAAGTTTCTACGAGAGTCATATTCCGAATTCTTCCCCAAAGGCGCCAAGGAGAGCCCAGACTTCTGCCGCATCATCAACGCCCAACATTTTGATAGGATGAAGAACATGCTTGATAGTACGCGGGGCCAGAAGGTTTTGGGGGGAGACACTGACCGCAATGACCTCTACATCGAGCCAACGGCCGTTCTTGTCGATGATTTCCATGATATCATGATTCAGGAGGAATCCTTCGGTCCGATATGGGCGATCTTGCCATATGATGATCTTGAGGATGCGATTACTGTCGCAAATGAGACCGACTCTACGCCACTCGCACTGATGACCTTCGGCAGTCCATCGGAAAACGAGAAAGGTAAGCAATCGTGCCCATACTAGAAAAGCTCTTTGTGGACACAACTGACATGCTGAGAATAGTACTTTCCAGTGTTACCTCTGGAGGGGCGACACTCAATGACGCGTTCATGCACGCCGCGGTCCATACCTTCCCCTTCGGCGGCGTAGGTTACTCTGGCTCTGGCTCTTACCGTGGGAAAGCGTCGTTTGACTGTTTCACTCATCGTCGCACAATTGCAGAGACCCCCAACTGTGTGGACAAGATCTTTCGTGTTCGGTACATGCCCTACCTGGAGTCGGAGCTGAGGATGTCACAGTGGCTAAGTGATGTCAAGCCGGATTTCGATCGTCACGGAAGACAGGTCTTGGGGTTGAGATCATGGGCTTGGAAGATGTTCAGACTGGGAAGTGCTTCTGGCCGAGGCATACTGCTGCGCTGGATCATTGTTGCGGCGAGCTGCTTTGCTGCTGTAAATGTGGCCGGTCTTGGGCCTAAGGTTGTGATGCCAAAGGTGTCAATCGAATGGGATTAAACGCAACAACGTGTATTTGTCATCAAGCGGAAGGTTGTACAAGACGTTATCAGCAGCCCAGTTTTCACGATTTTTTTGGCATAGCTAGTCTACCAGATTATCGACTTGTCTCCTTTCCGTCGAAATACTCGCTCCACATTGTTCGCTGCAGAATTGCTGAGTCACATCGCAACTAAGTTGCATCGCATTTCAATGGAAAGAAATTGTGATGCTATGAGAGAACTGACGCAAGTGGGCCCAGAGTGTCGTTCATTCGATGAGATTATCTTAGCATGCCGACATAAAGTCATCAAAAGTTCTCGGCTGTGACTGAGGCGCTCAAGACATGTACCAGGGTATCACTTGCCGTGCAACAGTCCCGAAGATAGAGCCAGAGCTTGGCAAACCCAGACGAAACTGACTCAACATGGTTAGTGGCATGTAAAAAACTGATTTGAACCAGTAGATCCACGAGGCGAGTGGTCCTGGTCTAGTGACGACCCTGGATACTACTGGGGTCCGGACAGCAGCACTGTTCGAGCCGACCCGCGATACGCAGCTGCGTGGTGCCAGATAGAGTTTGCTCGCTAGATATTTACCACGGCTAAGCCCGTAGTCTCCCATTATTTGGCGCGCTGCCTGGCCCACCTGCCGTCCAAGTAAAGGCTTTTCCACGTTGTGCCTTGATAAGTAGCTCGGAACTGAGGCAGACCCCGAATATCCTGATTGCCGCCCGCTTACGTACGCCCTGAACTGATGAATTCGGCCACGGTTCGGTATCGCATCATGACAAGCCATGATAATGCAAATCTGGTACCTCGTTTCGTAGGCAATGTTCATCACGGAAACCATCGCGGTCGTATCACAATCATGGTAGATACTGTACCCTGTGTTGCCCTGCAGAAGCAACGCGGCGTTATGGAGCCAGATAGAATCAGTTGTCTGTGAGGGAAGAAAGCAATATAAGGTGTCATAAAATGATCGGAAAGAAGAAAGAACAATTTCTTTGGTCATCACTTCCTTTGGTCAACCTCCGCGCCATTTTCGATACAGTCCACGTACCCAAAATACTTCATTATTGCCCGTCATCATGGGCTCTCTCCCAGTCAGTGCTGAGGTCCTCGTCATCGGCGCAGGTCCTGTTGGCCTCTTTGCTGCCTTGCGTCTCGGTCAAGCAGGGATTCGCGTTACCGTCCTTGAGAAGGAGAGCGGTCTGTCCCAGCTTCCTCGAGCTTGTATATTCTATCCCCAACCACAGTTCGCTCTGGCGGACGCTGGAATATGGGAAGCCATCATCAAAGGCGGCGGTTTTCGATCCACCGGGCTTGACATACGTCTTCCGCCAACTTCAGATGGGAACGATCGAAAGGCTCCGGGCCAGATTGTTGGGTCTTTCCCCAAAGACCCGAACCATGACCCTCTTGGCACACCTGTCAGACCACCAGCAATCAGCATGCTCAACATGGCCCAACCCGAGCTCACAAAGGTCTTGATGCAAAGCGCTCTCGAGACTGGGTATGTGCAGGTGGTCTTCAACAAAGAATTAATTGCAATTTTGGACGACGGCTCAACCGGTTCAAACGTGGTGGTGTCAGTCAAGGACGTCCAGACAGGGCTTCTCGAGGACCAGACAGCATCTTTTCTCGTTGGGTCGGATGGCGGTCGGTCGCGGACAAGATCTCTGCTGGGCATATCCTTCCCAGGCCACACCTGGCCCGAGAAGCTCATCGCCACTGACGTCTGGCTCAAGAATACCGAAGACAGTCCTACAACAACTACTCTGCTGATGGAACCGATACATTACACCATCATCACCCCACTTACGCCACCTGTCATCGGCGAGGTGACAAAGTGGAGGCTGACCTTTGCCGTCGACCCAAAAGAGCTTACTGAAAAGACAGAACAAGAGCTGCTGTCGGAGGAATACATATCTTTTCACTACGACCGCGCTTGGGCTGGCCCACGCCCACTCGCATACAACATTGAGAGAGCAGCAACTTACCCCATCCATCAACGCTTGGCTTCCAAATTGAGACACGGACGGTGCCTCTTGGCTGGAGATGCTGCACATGTGAACAACGTAAGCAACACTTTTTCTGTGGGAGACATAACGCTGATTGCCTTGTCTTCGAACATCAGGTCATTGGTGGTCTAGGGTTGAGCAACTGTCTGATGGAAGCTGTGGCTCTCAGCGATGCTCTCATCTTGGTCCTGAAAGAGGGCAAACCTGTAGACCCTGTGCTGACCATGTACTCTGACGAGCGTCGTCAAGTCTTTCAGTTCTTCATCGATCCCGTGTCGTCATGGGTAGGTCCATCA